AAGAGAGAGAGAGAGAGAGAGAGAGAGAGAGAGAGAGAGAGAGAGAGAGAGAGAGGGAGAAAAGGACAGAAAGAGACAAAGACTGAGAAAAGGACTGAGAAACGCGCTTCGTCGACTCTACTCCAAACCTCGGCGAGAGTTCGCGGAGAGGGTGAAGGGCGCCGTGGAGGGGGGAGTGATGCCGGCCGTGAGCGTGGCACAGCGCCCTCCAGGTGGAATCCCACTCCACGCCGGCGTGCCGGTAGCACCCAGCAGCGTAACCGCTCCCGGTCCGTCGGGCCGGTGCCTCGGGGGCCCGGCAGCACCCCCCGCCGGCTCGCCACCGCTGCCGCCGTCACTGCAATCCCTCGGCGGCGGTGTCGCAAATAGCACCACCAGCAACAATATCGTCAATCCGAACATCGTCAACCCCAACATCGGCCACAGCAGCGGCGGTAACAGCGGCAACGTCAGCAACAATCACCATCTCGGCAACAGCGCTCTAGGTATCAACACGGCGAGCGGCGCCACGAATCCCCTGCAGGCGATGGCATCGGCGGCGGCCTCGCTCACGCAGCTCAACAATATGGCAAACGGCCCGTTGCCGCCGCTCACGGGTACGGGCCCCACCGGACCGCCGAGTTTGCCGCCCCCGCAGCCCGCCACGACGCCGACGCACGGCGGCCCGCCGACGCCTCACGGTGGTGTAAGCGCGGCGCCCCATCTCAACGGCGCGTCGCCGAGTCCTCATCCGATGCCGCCTCATGGCATGATGAGCGGTTCTCCCCATACGCCTCACCCGCACATGGGGGGCGGTGGACCCTCGCCGCATCCCCATCACCCAGGACCTCACATGGTCGGCTCGCCGCATCATCCAGCGCCCCATCCGATGGGTCCGGCTGGTATGATGGGCCCGGCCGGTATGCAACCTCAAGGTGGACCCGGTATGTGCGGGCCTGGACCCACCGGCCCGATGGGGCCGCACGCGCACCCTCAGGGACCAGGGGTACCTGGACAGCCACATATGCAGCCGCATGATCCGTTCTATTGCTCGCCATTCGGGACACCCTATTTCAGGTAAATAGACGACTTTTATTCCGTGGCAGCGACTCTCGCCATGCGGACTCTCCACGAAAATTTGTCATCTTTCATCGTGAAACGACGAACATCGTCGCGATGAATCGTGTCGTCCCGATACGTTGCTGGTATTTTCTTCTCGCGCGTATTCTCGTGTATCGTTAAACATGTAGCTAACATCACCACTATGACGTACGCAGAAAGAAAAGTCTTGTAATAGTCAACAAATGCACTCGATTGAGCATTTAAGAGCGATATTTGGTAATTAGTATCACAAATATAATAATATTACCAACTATCTCTGGTAATAATTACAAAATAATAAATTCCTCATTTAATTGAACCAATTAAATGATTAATGAAATCGAATAAATAATAAATAATTCTAAATAATTTAAGTAATAATTATTAAATAGTGCGACTATTACCAAAGTAGTTGGTCACGTATATTTATCACGTAATATGATAAGTACTACTAAACAATATGGTTTTTTAAACAATTGTTTGGTGAAATGTACCACATGAATTGGTAATAGTCGCCAAGTCTTAGCAACAGATACCAAAACTTTGTGCAATAGATACTACAAATCTTACTTAAATTATTTATTAATATTTACCATATTATTTGATCATATGTACCTACATGTTTACTTGAAACTATTTCATCAAAGAATCTGGTAACCATTATCTACACGGAGAGAATATTATAGTAATAATAACAATACAATTTTAGCAATTAGTAAGGTATAGATTGACATTATTACGAAAATGATAATAAAACAGTAAAAATAACTAAGCATGATAACTTTTATCGTAACCATAAACATGATAACTATTTACAGTCATTTTTACTATGTTTTGTTATGATTTTCGTAATAATTTATTCCCGGACTAATAAAATCGCATTGTAATTTTTATTACAATAGTCTCTCCGTGCAGGCTTGATGGTTGTTACTAAATTCCTTTTTTTTGTATGAAAGAGTGTTTATTTTGCTCAATATTCCCTCAGGATCGCGCGTTTGCGGGCGAGATCTCTGAAACAACCTCTATAAACGATATGAACGAGTGGCTTGTCGTTATATACGTGTTATCGGCCGTAACAATTGGCCGTCACGCGAGACAACACTCGCACGTGCGTCTCTCGTGAGTCGGGAGCTGAAACTTTGTGTGAAGGCGTATGTAAACTTTTTTTTTCGTGTCCGCTGCACGCGCGAGGCAGTATGGGAGAGGCGGGGAGAGGGAAGGAGGGGAAGAGGGGGCGGTGGAAGAAGGTTGGCGCGGGGTGTCACGCGAGGCTTTACGAAAAACCGTATCGCGTGGTCAAAGGAATCTCCCGAGCTGAAGCTCGGCTCCGTCGCTGTTACTTCCACGTAATCCGCCTCTGCCTCGTGCGGTTAACAATCGCCGACGTGCTCTCCGGGAGCACGGTGTTACGATCAACGATTAATTTTCAACCGTCGACAGATATCTCGGCGCGACGTCGATCCCGATCGATCCACTCGGAATAGGAGCCAGAGGGGGGGGGGGAGGCTTGAGAGAGGGAAAGAGAGAGAAAGGGTACCTCGAGCGAAATTAAATTAGGATTATTCGCGGCTCGTCGTTCGATCAGTTCGACATTATTCCGTGACTCGATCACGACCCGACGAGCTTTTTTCCTACGCGGCGGATATTTTTAGACAATTGTTTTACGGCTCGATACTCTCTTCGTTCCGTGCCAATCGGCCGGTAGTCGCTTACTAGCACGCTCTCTCAGGCGTAGTAACAGTATACTCGGAGAATCCGTTATCGTACCTCGACCAGGATCTTCCTGGTCACCGTTGCCGCGCGGTTGGCTCGCTGGTCCGGCGACGCGCTTGAGAATAGCCGCACGCATACACTCACAATGTGGAGGTAAAGCGCCGAAAATCCGCGAGAGAACTCGCGCGCGGCCTCGTCACGCCTCCGCCAGTCGTCATTAATTAATCTCAAACGCGGGGCCAAGCCAAGGTTTACAATAATAGTCGTTAAAACGGCACGAATCGAGCGATGAGCCTGCCAAAAATCGCGCTCGCGGGCCGGCGTGTGAATGTCGGCGTGCGAGGAGGGTCGCGAATCTCTCATCTTTTTCCCGAGGCCCTTCGCGGTCGGGGATGCCTCGCTGGCGCGACTCGACGGGAAGGACTCTCGGCTGCAGCAGATATGCGCGAACACTTGCGGTCAGGTGCGTCGAAAGTCGTCGCCGTCTTCGTCGTGCGATATCTCGGTCTCAGGTGGCTCCCGCAGGTGGGAGGCGCCCATGGCGCAGGTGTGCATGCACGTCCGTCCGCGAGGCGCGACTTCCTCCTCTCGTTCCTTCGCCGGGGCGCTTCTCGCACGGCAGGAAGGAACGACCACGGGGTTAAGAGCGCCGATAGTCGGTACGTACGCGCGGCACGATGACGATTATCCGGTCCTCCTCCTCCTCCTGCACGGCCTTCTTCGCATCCGGTCTGGACGTCTCTATCGCCTCGACGTCATCTCTTCGCGCGCCGTCCCCCGTCTGGTAATCGCGCGGGCTCATTAACATAAGCGTTCCACCCTGCTACATTCGTACGAATGACGCTGCTACTTCGATGCTCGCCCAAGTCGTACGAGCACGAGTTCTCTCCTCTCAACACACAATCCCGACAATCGCATTAAACGCTCGCGAGAAAAGGGATTTTCGCTCGTCGCGCGCGTCATTTCGCGCGTGATTGACCGTCGCGTCATGACGCGAATTCACGCCGAGGTACGCCGACTTCTCTTCGGGTGGGCATTGGGAATTATTCTCGGGCGAGAAGACCAGGTTTTCTGCGAGTAAAACTTTGGAGATGTCGACGGATAAAGGAATGTTCCTGTCGGATTGATTTCACGGAATTTTTATCTTTGAACTTTGCTCTCGCCGGGAAATTAAAAAAAGAAATTGTTAATGGCCGGACATCCAGTTTGAGGGAGATTGACAAATTGCCCGACTATCAGTCAGTTTAAAACGATTTTTTTTATCTCGCCTTCATTCATTCATTCTTGCTTTTGTCCCATTTTTACTGCTTACGTTTTGTATTTCTCACCTTGGCAACTTTCATCGCCTCATCGGAAATCTTGTCAGTCTTATATATGAAAGACAAAGGACGTTTACGATATTATTACTACTGCACACAATTCACCTGTCTAGTCTCGGCCCTGTTGCGTTTAATTTGAAGAAACGGTTTCCTGTACGTTACATACATAAAACTTCTACTTAGGAGGGAATATTATAATTTCCTGTTTCTCTCATATAAATTTTTTTCAACTTTCCTATGTTTTTAGTAAAGTAAAAATTCCTATGTTTTTAATAAGGTAAAAATTCCTGAATACTTGCCTAATTTTAAATATTTTTAGTTTTCAAATACGAATTTAAATTTTTAATGCGGAATGTATATATACATTTAATCTTTGGGTCTTATGTTGAGAGTTTAAAATATTTTATAAGACCAAAACAATAAGAATATCTCAAATTATAGATATATGTCCATGAACACTAAGATTTGTCTTGCTAAAGAACATAGTCACACACTAGAGGCCGATTATTCCAATTTCTTGATAAGCTACTTGTCAGTTAAATCTTGTGTCTGCCTCTGTTCAATTTGAAGAAAAACTGAAGACATATGATTTAGCTGTCAAGTACCTTACAAAGAAGTTGGAACAATCGGCCCTACAGGCAGTAAGTGTTTCAACAGTACGTTTCACATTTCCTTAAATAGAAGCATTACATGTGGAACGCAGTGAATTACTGCGGAATGTCGATCCGCTCCTCGCTTACCAAGTCCTACAGTAATGTTTGCTACAACATTTTCTGCGTGTACGTAATGAAGAACATAGGAATCACGCCGATTACGATATATTCTCGCTGTGTGACACGAGTTCGCGTCAGCTTCCGTGAGAGGTTCTTTCTCCGGCAGAAATTTGCTTCCTACCCAAGCTGAGCTTCAGCTAATATCATCTAGCAAGATTACGGTCACGACGTGGTACGCGCGTGTCGACAGATAAGAAAGATAGTCCGCGTTTGTGGTGTACTGCCGTCGAGTCGCTCAGGTTATAGCTCACTATGACACTTGACTGAGCTTTCTCTAGCGTAACTCCGTATAGCGCGATATAGGGAAAACCCCGGTGCGTCGTCACCGCGGCGAGAAGCGGAAAGAGAGACACAGGTGCTCGGCATATCGCAGGCATATTCTTCCGTGAAACGTGCGGTACCCCGACGCAATCTTCGAGCGGCAACGGCCGAAATCGCGCGATAGCTGCACGCACGCGATCACGGCTGAGACACGACACGACGCGCACGAAGAACAGTTACAAGTGCACGCGTCGCTGTTATATAAACCCGATCGCTCTTGAATAACGCTCATTATTTCCTACGTAGAGATAAGTTCCCGCTCGTGTCCTTCCGGAGCGAAGCGCGCGCTACATGCAGCTTCGATAGGTCGCGCGGAGCGAAGCAACCTTGATGCTCCCGTTCTGAAATTCCCCGGCGTTGCCCGAGCGCGTTACATCATTCGAGTATCCGCATCGGCTGCGCGCCGAGATTGCGCTCGCCAGAGATGTTACGAATTCGCACGAAAAAAGTGTAAAAAAAACGGAAAAATGAAGCGCGCACGCGGCGTTATCGCGCGGCGAGCGATGACGCGTCGGATAAAACGCTGCAGAGCGGCCTAACCGGCCTGACCGCGCGCTCCCTCCCCCTTCTCTCTCCTTCTCTCTCTCGCTCTCTCCCTCTCACGAAATTTGTAATCGCTGCAAAACGTTACGAGCACGTGTACAAACATATTCTACGACAGCGAAGGTGACAGAAACGGGCGCGAGTCGTGACAGTGTCGCGCGCGCGCTTCGGTGTCGCATTAATATTGTCGTAAAAAAAAGAGGAAAAAAAATATATATATTTATCACGCCGTATTCACGCGCGTGCTGCACACGTCGGCGCAAAACAAGAAAATAAAAAAACCGAAGCAGGAGAAAAAAACAGACAA